AACTAATGTCCAAGCTGACTTTGTTTTGGTTGTAAGTGAACTACGTACAGCTCATGAAAGTATTTCGCCCAGAGTTCGCAAAAAAACGGAATACCCTGCAAACTTTGAATCCTTTATTTTATAAAAAATAAAAACCATAATTGTAATTCAACAAGTTTATGTAACGTGTTAGTCCGCTTGCCAGCCGCCTAGTTAAAAAACGCGATCTCCATTGACATCGGCTTCGACAACTTCGGACAAGTAAGATGGGCGCTGGCCGACATTACATTTGCAAGTATTGTATTTGTTTGACAAATTGTACACTACAGTCATTCTATAACAATCGATCAGTCGTTTTTTTCACAGTCTTACTATTGCTGCAGATATTCTTCAATTGTTATAGGTGCCACGGATTTTAACATAACTACAACTTGACCCGTGTTAAACCCAAACCATGCGTGCATGACAACCGTCATTCTACACACGGTTACTCAACAAATACCGTACTCTACAGTAGACGTTTTTCGCTCTCCACCAATAATAGAATGGTTTTATTTCATATTAGTTGTGTCTGTGTCAGTGCCGTATTTGATTTCACATGTTTGGTTCGATCTTGTTTATGGTGGACATTATTACTACGCGTATGTATTATTATCAATTTTATATGGCTGTGTGATCCAGCGTATTTTTCAACGGTCGTTCTATAAATTTCTGATTGTATTTATTCTTATTTTAAGATCATAAAAACAAAAATGATACACTTATACATGAAACAGTCGGTAATGAACTGTAAATGCGGGCGGTTGCGTTGTCAGGCGAGCGAGCGTTTGCGCGAGCGGATACTTCCGGATTTGCGCGGTCGAAAAAAAAAGCGGAAATTGCGCGGTCGAATTGAACAAAGCGAGCGGAAAAAAAGCGATCGAAATCCGGAAGTGGGCGGGAGGTTGGGCGAAATGAGTACTGTAGTAGTGTCCTATACCGTATTTGTTCTAATAATAGTGTCATACAGCGTATTTGTTCTAATAGTAGTGTCATATACCGTATTTGTTTCAATAGTAGTGTCATATACTGTATTTGTTCTAATAGTAGTATCATATACTGTATTTGTTCTAATAGTAGTGTCATATACCGTATTTGTTCTAATAGTAGTGTCATATAGCGTATTTGTTCTAATAGTAGTGTCATATACTGTATTTGTTCTAATAGTAGTGTCATATTTGATTGGTTTTTGGTAAAAATATGTGCATATTAATTACCTAATTTGCATAATGATTATTCAATTTTCGTTTTTTTCCACTGATATCTCAAGTACTAATCATCACATTTCAATGAAACTTGGTACATAGATGTCATATGACACTGCACAGACCTGATAGTTTTTATGGTAATATCAGTACATATAATTACCTAATTTGCATAATTAATTAATTTTCAGCTTTTGATATAAGTAGTGAGCATTACATTTCAATGAAACTTGGTACTTACATACTCAAGGACTATGCAGAGATTGATTGTTTCGAATAAATATTTGTGCATATTAATCACCTAATTTGCATAATTAGTTAATTTTCAGCTTTTCCACGGGTATCTCAAGTACTAA